ATTTCTATGGGCAAACCAGTATCTTTTATATTTGGAGCATCAATTGGATTATGTACACTTATCTGGGTAAAACAATATGAATTAAATCATTTTTAACTAGAAACTATATATAATATCTGCAACTATAATTGAAATTAAAAGAGAAACATGATTTCATACTTTTAGTTTTATACTGATTATAGGTCTACAATATTAATCTTATAAATACAGAATCACGTGAACATCTTAATGATTTCATATAATTCCCTTTTGTAATATCTTTAGCCATATAATTCTGGCCCACAGAAGCCTTATTATGGAATAAGTGAGTCCACAACGATTTATCAATTACAAAAGTATTTTGTAGCCGAAAAAAGACGCTACTAGCAACACCCTATAGATAACTGTCAGGTAAAAAAATATTTTCGTCTTTACAACTACGGTATCGCGTCCCATCTTATTACAATAGAGCAAAGATTATTGGTTAATTATCCGACAGGTTAACATCACAACAAAGAAACCAACAAAAATGTCTGAAGAAACAGACAGATATCTAAACCAAGAGGAAATTGTTAGACAATAATATCCTTACCAGATATTAGAATATCCTAAACGGCTAACATTCTGGCTTTCATTCGAAGGTTGGAACGTCATCGGTTTTGTTTAGAGATTGGTTAGAAGCACTTTACTCCACTGCCAGCCAGTACCACGTTTATATATATGTTATATACCACGTTTATATATACCACGTTTAATTATATGAAATTAAATTTAACTATCAATAAATAAATAAAATTAAAATAAATAAAATAAATAAATAAAATTGAAATAAATTTAACTATTGAAAAGCTCTTACGAATGAGTTTTTTAGACTCATAATCTATTTTTGGTCTATATTAAATGTAATATGATAGATTTTTATAAAAAATCTATTTATAATAAAAAACTCTCAAAAGCGAAACAATTATTATACCCGTTATTATCACCAAAAGAAAAAAAAAAGATTATATAAAATTACCTTAAAACCGGCACCATTAGTCGAGGAACAAAAATATTCATCTATATCTGCATTAACTGCTAGTGAAAATCCCAAGGACACACCAGCACCTATAAAATATTTAGAATATTAAAAAAAAACATTTAAAAACGAAGCTGTTATATACACCTTTTCCTTCACGTGGATAATAATACAATGGTAATTTAGATGGATATCCAGTTTCTGGACTCCAATCAACGGGCAAACGGCCGATACTCGAGTGATAATCACTTACAAAATCATATCTTTAAAATTTTAATGTTTATTAAAAATAAGGAAAACTTTAAGATTAAATATAATTATTATATATTATATTATATATGATTTATTATTACCATATAATGTTACTACATGTTAGATAAACTGTATGTGAATAGTTGCTTTATTTTATAAAATTAATACTAACGCAACATATCTAAGCTTGTATCAAACGTTCATTTACGATTATATTTCTTTTTCTGTAATTACTATCTAGAATAACAAAACAGTTGGATCTAAATCTAAATATAGACTACGTTCAATTACACGTTTCACTTTCAATTTGACTTTCAATTTGACTTTCGATTTGACTTCCAGTTTGACTTACAATTCTCAAGTACTTGAAATAAAAATTACTATTAAATAAGATATGTACCATTCAGTGTAAATTACAGATTTTAATATATGCTTTTATGTTACCAGCTTTTAACTTCAAATCACATAACTTGTTATTTTTTATATAATAAAATAATATTTATAATTCTCATGCACTTAAAAAAAACTACTATATGTGTGAAGGAAAACAGAGATATTTAGTTGTATAAATTTTAATCTGTTTTATTTATATTTGAATGTATAACAATTGCTCTTTGTCTTTAACATGATTTCCATTATTGATGTTCGGGTTTCAGACAACTGCTTTTGTCATTATATAGATTTGCTAGTAGGATATATGTGCCTCAAAATGATTTAATTTTATATATTTTTGAGTATAAAATTGTTGCTTTAACCACGGTTGCCACTTGAAAATTTTTTCCTGTACCAAAATTGGTTTAAAAAGGTACCATTTCTGTAAAAAAAGGTCCAAAATTTTTTGGACCTTTTTGTTTTTTCGTTCTGTGTTTTTCATAGTGTTATAAATGAACACAATATAAAATAGTGCAAAGTTGCATTTATAAATTAATTGGAAATATCCACAATAAAGTTGGGTCGTCAAAAATGTATCATTTTTTGAACATGAGTACCAAACGAAAAAAAAAATACCAATTTGGGTACTAAAGTACCATAAGTGGCAACCGTGGCTTTAACCAACTTATATGAGATTTAGCGAATGAGTTGGGTTTCTCAAGAATTTAGGTTAAATAAATAATCTAATAAAGTAATTATTTCTAATAAGTTATCTCAATTAATAATAAATTTCTTTGATTTTATTATTGCGATGTAATCGTTTGTTGGATGTAAGTATATGTTATATATTTATATATATATTTTTAATTTACATAAAATTTCATTTCATCACATATTTTTCGGATTAAAAAATATTAAAATTGATAAATGAATATTTTTTGTTTAACACATATTTCGAAAATATGTAAGAGAAACGAGTTGTCAGTTATAAAAACTTAAGGCTTAAACTCTAGTATAATATAAAGGGACATATAAGAAATACGTAATATTCGTAATTGAATAAATGTTTACTAGAAAATGGTACCGACCTTCCTTTATAAAGTAGCGATGGATGCAATGTGTTAAACACACAACATAGACCTTCGTCAGTTATCACAGTCTTAAAGAAATTCCTACAATTCTTCTCAGTAGCAGCAAAAGAACAGTACAAAAGCATCTTTTCACAAGGTTGATAATTCTAGAAAGAAAGAAAGAAATTAATATAAAAACATTTTAATAGAGAGATTTCAACAATAGTATCTATTAAGTAAAATATTCACTAACATCAGAAGTGACATTAAAATTAAATTTAATTTAAACCACTTTTTAAACAATAAAAACATAATTTTTAATATAAGCTTTACAAATATTTTTAACTGGGTTATCTCTACGACTGTTTACTTTGTTTGTCAATCCATTAACTCTTTAGTCCATCATAAATAGAAACTATATCAATCTTTGCAATATGAGCAACTATAGAAACAAAAATTATGTTTATAGCAATCAATTATTATAGGGTAGAAACTGTTTTTTATATATCTTTTGAAAAAATTTATTTTTCCCTATTCGGTTATAATTTTAATTTTTAATTTATTAATATTTTAAAAATAACTTGAAAAGGAGGTAAAGAAAAGTTTTTTATTTAGTATACGTACATACTATATGTAATCAACAATCTAAGTAAGCACAAGTAGAACCGCTTTAATAAATATAAAATATTATATTTTTGAAATTTAATAAATTAAAAAAATATATATAATTAACATTAATTTGTACCTCTGTTAAATATTCACTAAAAGCGATCTTGCTCTTTTGTGCTTGATATTCGCTGAAGCTGACTCGCATATTACAAAACTTTTGTAGTAATGCATAATTTGTAGAGTTTCTGAATCATAAATAAGTTTATTTATATAGTGAAATTATAAATTAAATCTTATATGTATATAAATATAAATATTGCTCTTTCTTTTCTTACCCCTCTTTCTTTTACTTTCTCTCTCTCTCTCTTTCTTACTTTTACAACATTTTTCTTTCTTATTGCCTCTCTCTCCCTCTAAGTTTTCTTTTGTCTTACTTTTTTCGTTTTCTTTCTCGATCATTCTTTCTTTCTCTCTTTCTTACTCTCTCTCTTTTCCCTGTTTTTTTCTGCCTCTCTCTTTTTCTCTCTGTTTTTCTGTCTCTCATTTCTTTTTATTTTTCTCTATATCTCTATTTATCTCTCTCTCTCCCTTTTACTTTGGCCATATTTTTATTTCTCTCTCTCTCTTTCTTTCTCTTTCCTTCTCTCTACATTGTCTCTATCTTTCTCTTCTTCTCTCTTCTGCTCTGTGTTTTTCTAAAATAAAAGGGGAGAGCTTCATTTTATCTTTCTCCACGTGTTTGTTTATTTCTCTCTTTTGCACTCTCTTACTTTTACATTTTTCTGTCTCTCCCTCTAAATTCGGTTTTCTTTTACTTTCTTTCTCAATTTCTTCCACTCTTTTTCTTTCTGTTTCTTCCTCTTTTCCTTTCGCTCTATCTTTCACTCTATCTTTCTCTCCCTCCCTCTTTTATTTCATATTTCTTTTATTTTGTGTTTATCTACATCTATCTTTATCTCTTTCTCCATCTCTCTCTTTTTTTATCTCCCTCTTTTGCATTTTTCTTTCTTCTTCTCTTCCTCCAAGTTTGTTTTCTATTTATTTATTTCTCATTTTCTTTCTCTCTTTTTCTTTCTCTCTTTTTTCTTTCTATCTTTCTTACGTCTCTCTTTTGCTCTCCGTTGTTCTCTCTCTTTTTTTCATTTCATCTTTATCTATATCTATTTTTATCTTTCTCTACCTCCTTCTCTCACACTTTGTCCCTCTCTCTCTTTGTGTGACTTACACAGCCATTTTCTCGGCTTTACTTTTCACTGGACCATTCATATTACAGATTGTAATCGCTGGAAATGGAACTTCTGTGACACTAGTGGTATGTGAATCCATGCTAATAATGACAGGCATAGTTTGCCAGTTGTCAAAAACATCGAGTGCGAAATAAACTGCTGATGAGACCACCATTCCAAATGATATAAAAAAAAATAATCTGTAAAAAAACTCAATAATATATATAATATGTAGACAGCAAAGTAATCATGGTTTGAAAGGTCAAATCGAATTAAATATTGTTAAATTTATTAATTTCTTTATTACTTAATAATAAAATTATTGTAATAAATTATAATAATAATATTGTATCAATTTTAATAAAATA